ACAACACAGTATAGATGATGGTGTCTGCAGTTGAGTCCTTCATCTCATGGAATTTCTTAATAGCAATAATATCTTGATGTATTGACTCCATCCTGTGATACTCAAACTGGCTCCTAATATGCTCAAGATTATCAGTACCAGTCTCTCCTAATGAGGTATCATTAGTGTATCAGTTGCTGCTATCTAGAACTTACCATTGTTATCTTTGTTAGCAGACATTCTCATTAATGTTCCTCCCTTGCTCTCAATTTCTTCTTCTTTCCTTTAATTATTTAAGGGCCAACTTCCTTTAACACTTTTGTATCATAAAGTATCCAATTAACATTCATGGCTGATTATTAGAAGCCATAGCAATTAGCAACAGCTCCAATTATTGGCTGTAATCAAGTTAGATACTGCTATGTATTGCACTAATGTTGTATTTGTAGTTTATATAGTGCTGGACTGTATGACTATGCTTCAAAACAACTCCACTCAGTTAATGGTCACACATTATGATGACACTAATCAATGTTATAGCAGTATAGATCAAACGTTATTGTCATGGTCAAAAATATCAATTTTAACACATTGCAATAAAATGGAATTAAATGATGCACTGGTGTAATAACAAAATGACATCAGCAGGCATAAACTTTTAATTTATTCATTTTTCTTTTCTTCATTTTTATAATATTCTTTCCCAACAACCTTGATATAGAAAGTAGCTCCATTGTAACAGGCAATCAGGACAAACCCCAGAAAGAAAATGTAATTATACACTAACCTAAAAATAAGATAGTGAACAAGATGAAATAGTTGAGTTTTTGCAAATACTAAAAAAATTAGTCAGTCAATCTCTCTACAGTCAGTCATTAGTGGGTATGTGTACTTACGATATAAAGCATAAGTATGCTAGTATGAAGAAGAGGCATCCCATTACTGTGTAAGCAACAAAGTACATTTGTTTCTGATACTTTAGTCCCAGACAGTTAGTAATTGAATATATAAGACCACCTTTCTTCTCTTGTGACATTATTGTGAATGCTGTCATGTAATTCTTTTCTTTTATAATCTTTTCCTTCCAATAGAACACCTATACATTAGTTATGAATATAAACTGATTAGTACCAGTAGATAACTTACTATTAGTATATAGCAGAATACCCATATTCCATATATTATAAATGGATAGAGTATCAGTTCATCCCAACCATTGCTGTTGCATCCATTAACTCCAGGCTCTGTTGGATTAGCACACAACTCAAACCCTTGATCTGGGGGTACTGTACCTGTAGACATGAAATATACTGCAGTTATTGTTGCATACAATCCATTAGCCAACAGCATTACTGCTTTTGAACTCTGAAAGTACAATAGTCTGTTTTTATTTAACTGGCAAAGCTTGGCTATGCTTAGCTTTGGTACAATCAACCAATGGTATACAATAAACTGTTATTCTTTGGACTCAATGAATATAATCAGGACAGCCTAGCCTGCTGTAAATTTCTTTCACCAATTTATTAACTACTTCAGTCAGTCACAGAAACACTTTACAATCTACAATACTCACCACCTGATGCTCCAAGTGACCATTGCTGGTGCTATATGAATGAACAGTGTACACATCTTCTCTGATGAATGAGGTACAAATGCATTCCTCCAGTAATAGACTGACCATATCAGTGGACCATGAGCAAAGAAGAACAGAGCAGGGAACATCCCAGGAGGTTTCCATGGGGACCATATGAGATCATAATGAGTATGTGTATCCATGTGCAGAGCTCCTAGAGATCTCGCGTAGCCAGACCCATCCCCCTTTTTGATAATTGGACGGCGGGGGAAGGGTCTGGTGGAATGAGCAATGCCCACTCATTTTTGTTGCCACCAGACTTCCGGTGGCCCGACCAGAACCACGTGTTTTATTTATAGCATGCGTCATTATTCATCATCACTTAGACAAGAGCTAGAGCTGCTTGAGACTGTGGAGAAGTGCTATCGCTAGCTCGCTATGAGTTGCTTGTTTTGTAAGGCCGATGTGAAGAAAGGTGCAGGTAAAAAGAAAAGAAAACTCATCTTTGGGAAGAAGTCTGAGCATGTCTTAAGCATCCTTGATAGCCTGTGCTTATTTTATTATA